CGGCGAGGTTTTGCCGCCTCCTACGCAAGCACAAGGACCTGAGTTCGATCCCCAGAACCAAAAAAAAAAAAAAGTGTTTTGATAACTCTAGTCTTTATTTTTCAGTTAACCAATTTTAGCCATGGGTTTAAAAGCCATTCATTCAATCTTTTATAGTTATAAGAATCTATTTTAGGGCCGGGGATTTAGCTCAGTGGTTCCACCGCCTGCCTCGCAATCACAAGGACCCGAGTTTGATCCCCAGTACCTAAAAAAAAGAATCTATTTTAACTAAATACTAGGCACTTCTGCTGACAAGGGAAAAGATATTTTGGAGTTTGGTTGGTGAAAGTGTTTTTTCAACTGTAGATAAACTGCCTCCATGAAAAGCTAATAATCAGATCGCTCCCAGCATTAAAATGAATAAAGGTTTGTCATGCCTGGATGACATTCAAAGTGGAAAAAAAAAAAAGAAAATCAAAACCTTGGGTTTTTTTGGTTGTTTTGGGGGTGCTAGGGATGGAACTCAGGTCCTCGTACATGCTAGGCAAGTGATCTACCAGGAAGTCACACCCCAAGTTATGTCTTCTGAGATAGGGCATTCCTAAGTATTCCAGGGTATTCCCAGGCTGGCCTTGAACTTGGGATCCTCCTGCTTCAGCTTGGGAAAGGCTGTGATTATTTGGGTTTTTTTGGGTACTGGGGATCAAACTCAGGCCATGTTTTTAAAGAAGAGCCTGCCGGGGCTGGGGATTTAGCTCAGTGGTTTCGCTGCCTGCTGCACAAGCGCAAGGACCCGAGTTTGATCCCCGGTACCAAAATATAAAAAAATTTAAAAAAATAAAGAAGGGCCTTCACTAGACTAAGGAAAGCAACAGTACCATGAGCCAAGCATGCTGCTGGGACAGTGATTCCTCTTGTCATTCCCCAGATGACACGGGACACAGCAAGTCAGGCCCCACACCCTTCGGACAGCCCAGCGCGAACTAAGGGCTGGGCTATCCACTCTCCAGTCTCACTCTGGGGCTCACCTTCCCCACAGGGCTGGGAAGATCACCATGACCTCCAGGAGGTGATAGCAATCAGAGATCCAAGTCTTGCTAATGAATTTCCCAAATGCAGCAATGCTCCTTACTCCTGTCTCCTCCCAAATTTCTGGAGGTCACACAGGAAGCAGATAAAAACATGATCCAAAGGCTGACAGATAAATATTTATTTGTATTTATTCTTCTAGGAAATCTAAACCCAGACTCAGTAGGTCAGTGTTTGAGAAAACACACACTCATCATTCTCCCTAGGCCTGGACTTCCTGGAAGTCCAGGCACTCACACGAGGCCTGTCTTCCACTCTGCTATCTGAAGGCTCTCCTCCCAGCCCTCACCAGCAGACGTGCACGGAAGCCACCACCTGGATGATCGGACAGTGTTTTATTCCAGGTTCTGACCCCTGCCCTGGGACTAGATACTGCCAGTCTGCTCCCAGTCTCTGCCATGGAAAAGCAAACTGATACAGGTGTACGTTCTCCGAGACACACGGCCCTTCATCTAGACTCGGAAGCTGGACATGGTCTTTCAAAGACGGAGAGGGACCAGCCTAAGCCTGGCCGTGAGGATGAGTCCACCAAGAAGACCTATGCAGGGCGGGAGACAGTGGGTGGCCTCCAGCAGCCTCGACACTCACATTCCATTTTTCCATCAGGCTAGCTGAGGGCTAGGGGCCTCTGCAGGGCCCTCTTTACCGTCCTCCCACGGCTGCAGCTGGGGACCAGGAATCATCACCGTCTGAAAGAGCAAGAGGCTGTTACTACCAACCCAGTGCTTACCCAGAAGGCCCCTGGTGTTGCACCATCCCCTCTCCACTAGGTGGAGCCCAAGAAGCGCGCCAGGAGGCCACTGAGTCAGCACACGCACCTTAAGGATGGGCTGCTTTGGGGGCGCCCACGGGGGAACGATCTTGGCGTGCATCCTCCAGCTCCCGTAGGGGTTCATCAGGTGTCTCTCAAACACCACATACTCCAGGACATCCTTGGGCATGTCTTCCTGCCCATACATCAGCCGGCCAAACCGATCATAGATAGCTAGAGTCTTCGGGGATAGAAGCCAAACAGGTCTACTAGCTTTTTGTTGTTTTTTTACCACACAACCATTTTTTTGAACACATTACACCATAATTCGGAATCTAGGACTAACGGATCAACGGCTAGGGCAGGAGAAGAGCCTCACACCATGTCCTAGGACAGAGCCACAAAGACCACAGTGAACCTTTCCTTAGGTGCTGGGGTCTGGGGCTGTAGCTCACAGGACACCAGCTGCCTCACATGCACCAGGCCCCGGGTTTGATCCCCAGCACTGCAGAAACTGAGCGGAGCTGAGAGGAGGCAGGGAGCGCGCCGTGACCCTACCTGCCGCGTATGTAGGCGCACGGTGACCTGGCCATACATGTTGCTCTGGTTCACCAGACTGGAGCAGCGCACCTGAGTCACCTGAGCTGGCTCCAAAGACTCCACGAAGTGCCAGCGGACCGTCTTATATCTGAGGTCCCAGACCATGTCCTAAGGGCAGAGAACAAGGTCAACCTGCGCTTCCTCTGTGCAGGTCTCTGAGGCTCTGGTTGAGGCTGCGCTTCCCACATGCTCTCTTGTACCCCTTCTGTTCCCAAGCTGTGATTAAGCAACTCTTAATCATGCACCTCACAGCTCTTTCCATCTAAATCATAACTTGAGCCCCTTCTCTGAGTCAGTAGAGACCATACTCTGTGCCCCTCTCCCTGCGTACCCAAGCACCAGCCGCTGCACACATACTTCAGCTAACTGTGTAATTCCCCACACCTTTCAAGAGCGAGAGGACAGGGCCACACTGCTAATACTAGATTTGCTAGACTTGTCCCTTGAGAGTCTGGTAGAAACTCATCTTCTACCGGTAGAAACTAAATCTGTAGAAAATCAATTATGCTTGACCCTCTAACTGAACCACAAAGTCCCCATTCCTGGAGGTCCCCAAAGTCCCCACATTCCATCACCATGTAATATAAGCCCACTGACCTCTTGTTAAATCCTCCACTGTACTGCAGACATGCAGGGGGAGCTGTGTGTCGCCTACTCCTGACCTCAGCAGTACCCTCTGTGGTCCTAGGGCCACCGTGCAAGGACTTTCCCTGTCCTCACTGCCATGGCCCTTACCAGAGTCCCAGCCTAGTCACCACTGTCCACCTGAGAGTAAGGGGTTTGGCCTGGGCCTCAAACAGATTTCAAAAGGGATCCTTTTAAGAAAACCCAGTGGTCGGGCCGGGGATTTAGCTCAGTGGTTTCGCTGCCTGCTGTGCAAGCGCAAGGACCCCAGTTCGATCCCCGGTACCGGAAAAAAAAAGAAAACCCAGAGGTGATGTCTACCACCTGGCCCCTAGGACGTCCCCCAGGGGTGGGACCTACCGGGAAGCAGTGCTCCGTGACCAAGGTGTGGAGCCGGTCATGGTCGGAGCTAGGAGAGAAAGAGACAGAGGTCACAGACTCCTGCCTCTAACACCCTGCCTGCCGACACCCTGCCTGCCGGCTGGAAAGATCCTGAAGGTGGAAAACAGGTCACTGCTACAAACACTTTCTGTGCATCCACTGTGAGCCAGACAATATGCTAAGTTCTAGGACACAAAAGATGACATCAAGGTGCTTCACCAGAAATTTCTGAGACCTGACAGCACACTAAAATTGCTTTAAATCTTTGGAGCAGAAAGAAATTTCTCTGAAACCCCATTACAGCAGAGGTTCTCACTGGGCCTGGAAATGGATCTGTGCTCTGGCATGGACTGTCAAGAGAGGGACAGAAATGAGATATACGAGAGCTGAAAACTATAATAAGTAACTTAAAAATTCACTAGAGCAGAAGTGGCTGGACTGGGGATTTAGCTCAGTGGTTCCGGCGCCTGCCTCGCAGCACAAGGACCTGAGTTTGATCCCCAGTACCAAAAAAAAAGAAAGAAAGAAAAAGAAGTGGCAAACCTTCAGCATGCATGGCAGAGTTGGTTTATCATCACTGAAAGTTCCCCATCACTGTGCCAGAGGGATTCAACAGCAGACCCGAACAGGCAGAAAGGGTTAGAGAACCTGAGTGGAAGACAATTAAAATTATCCAAACTGAGAAGCAAAGGAAGAAAAATGAAGCAAGCCCAAGGGACTTGGGGGACACCATCAAATGTCCCACACATGGGTCAGAAGGAGTCCCAGAAGAAGAATGGAGAATAGTATTTGAAGAAATAATGGTGGCTAAAACACCCTGCATTTGATGAAAGACATGAACATATATCTCCAAGATGCTCAACAAAATCCAAGTGGGAAAAATGAAAGACAGTGACACCAAGACACATGGGAAAGAAAGTCTTGAAAGCAGCAAGAGAAAACTGACTCATCAAATACACAAGATCCTTAGTAAGATCACAGTAAATTTCCAATAGAAAGCAGAGGCTAGATGTTAGTGAAACGACACTTAAGTCTCCAAAGGAAAGAACTCCTGTTAACCAAGAATTCTACATATGGAAAAACCTATCCTTCAAGAATGAAGAAGGAAAAAAATACTGAAGGAGAGGGGCCAAAGATGTAGCTCAGTGGCGCAGCGACTTCTTGGCAAGTGCAAGACCCTGAGTTCAATTCCGATACCGCAAAAAAAAAGAGAGCTGGGCATGGCAGTGGCACAAGCCTGTAATCCCTGCACTCACGAGGCTGGGGCAGCATAGCTGTAAGCTCCAGGCCAACCTGGGCTACATAGCGAGTCCAAGGCCAGTCTGAAGTACCTAGCAAGACTGTCTCAAAAAAACTGAAAAACTAAAACAAACAAAAATTTGTTTAGGATGTGCTTAGCACAAGGAGGCCCTAGGTTCAATCCTCAATACCGAAAATTTAAAATTAAGCTTGGTGTACTGACATTGTCTGCAGTCTCAGGTACCTGGGAGGTGGCCATAGGCTATGATACTCTGAAGATGTTACAGTAAACAAAATAAGCCAGTCACAAAAGGACAAGTACTCTAAGGTTCTATTCACATGAGGTACGGAGATAAGGCCATCCCGGATGCTGTAACACAAACACCATCAACTGGGCAGCTTATAAACATTTATTTCATACAGTTCTAGAAATCAGAAAGTCCAAGATCAGGCTGCTGGCATCTGTGATGCACAGTGAGGGTGGACCATGAATGGCACCACCTTGGTATGTTCTCCAAGGGTGGAGGGGGCAACCAAGCTCCCTGGGGCCCTGCAGAAGGGCACTGATCCCAGTCAAGAGGCCTCCACTCGTACAACCAAATCAGCTCCTGAAGGATCCACCACCTAACACCATCATGGCCTTGCAGCTGTGATTTTTATTTCTAAAAAAGAGCTGGTGATGTAGTAGTAGTTCAGTGTGAAGGCTCTGGATTCAATCCCAAGTATCACTAAAAAAAGAGAAAAGAAAGAAAGAAAGAATACAAAAAGAACTAACCAAAATCAAAAGGAAAAAACAACAACTGAAAATAGTTGTCTAATCCAGAGCACATAGAGATTTTGGAGTTAGCAGACAGATTTTATTTTTTTATTTTTTTGAGGGGTACCAGGGATTGAACTCGGGACCTTGTGCTTGCGAGGCAGGTGCCAGAACCACTGAGCTAAACTCCTGGCCCACCAGACAGATTTTAAAATAATTGTGATTAGTGTGGCCCAAGAAATTAGACGACACGCTGGACACAGTGCATCCACCTTAATCCCAGCTACGTGGGTGGCCAAGACAGGCAGATCACCTGAGCCCAGGAGCTCCAGGCCTGGAGACCTGTTCCTAAAATAAATGAATAAAATAAGAAATTAGGAATTAGATTACAGAATGGAGAATTTTAGCAGAGACTTTCAATAAGAAAGAAAATAAATCAAGTGAAAATTCTAAAAATGAAAAACAAAAAATAAACAGAAAACTAAGAGCTCAACAGGTAGGTTTAATAGCATATTAGATACAACTGAAAAGATGATACAAAGATAGACGAAAAACTATGCAGACTAAAGCTGCGGGGATGGGGGTGTTACATAAAAAACAGCCTAAGACATATTTAGCATAGTGGAAAGATCTAACATATGTTCTCTCAGAATCACTCAAGGAGACAAGAAAGTGGAGCAGAAGCAACATTTGAAGAGAGATTCTGGTTGAGAATCTTCCAAATGACAAAAAAAGCCCTCAAAGATTTCTTTTTTTTCTTTTATTTTTTGAGACAGTCTTGTTATGTAGCCTGGGCTGGCCCTGAACTCATGGTGATCCTCCTGCCTCAGTCTCCCAGGGGCATGGATGACAGGCATGTACCACCACGCCTGGCTCCAAACATTTAAAAAGCAACAGGAATCTAAAGCACACCCATATGCTCACGTGCGTGGACACACGCATACACGCACATGCACACACATACACACACACACACACACACACACACACACACACACACACGCACGCACGCACCCTGGTAGGTACATCATAGTAAACTGCTGAATACTAAAAGGAAAGGAAATGTCAAAAAATCAGCCAGAGAAAACAGAAACACTAAATCAGGCACAGTGGTACGTACCAGTAATCCCAGCACCCAGGCAGGCTGAGGCACAAGGGTCTTTGAACCCAGCCTAGGCCATTTAGTGACTCAGCAGGACCCTGTTTCAACATTAAAACATAGAAAGAGCTGGGGATATACTTCAGTGTGAAGGCCTTGGGTTCAATTTCCAGAACACCAAAAAACAACATCAAAATGCTGAGAGAACATAACCACCAACTTGGAATTCTCTGCCCAAAGAAAGTATCTTTATTTTTTGAGACAGGGTCTCCCTATGCAGTTCAGCCTGGCCTTGAACTCACTATGTAGCCCAGGCTAGCCTCAAACTTGTGATCCTTCTCCTGAGCCTCCCAAGTGCTGGGATTACAGGCACAATGCCCAGCTATGAAGTATATTGTTTTTTGGGGATTTTTTTTGGTACCGGGTATTGAACTCGGGTCCTTGTGCTTGTAGAGTAGGTGGCAGAACCACTGAACTAAATCCCCAGCCTGAAGTATATTGTTTACAGATGAGTTCATGTGGGAAAGTACAAAACACACATGAGAATGATATAAAGGATCATGTTCACCTCTAGGAAAGAACATCATGGGAGATGGAAATGTAGCTTTAACTATTCCATCCAACTTAGGATTTTGAAGAAAAAATAGAAAAATGTAAGTATTTATGAACTTGAATTATACTTTTTTAATGTTTGAAGTATCTCATAATAAAAAAATATTTTTTCTCTGGATATGTTGGTGCACACCTGTAATCCCAGCATTTAGGAGGCTGAGGCAGGAAATCACTGGCCAGCCTGAACTATAGAGACCCTGTCTCAAAAACAAACAAACAAAAAACAAATTTTTTTGTGGCACTAGGGATCAAACTCCTGAGCCTTGTACATGCTAAACAAATGCTGCCAGTTAGCTGCACACCCAGACCTAAAAATAATTTAAGAAATAGACAGGCATGGTGGTGCATGACTGTGATTCCAGCAGTTGGGAGGCTGAGGCAGGAAGACTGCTTCCAGCTCAAGGCCAGCCTGAGCTACATACTATGACTCTTTTTCCAAAAAAAAAAAAAAAAAAAGAAAGAAAGAAAGAAAGAAAGAAGAAAAGAAAAAATGGAAGAATTCATGGTTGCCATGGATTTAGCTCAGTAGTTCTGCCACCTGCCTCACAAGCGCAAGGTCCCAAGTTCAATCCCTGGTACCAAAAAAAAAAAGAATTCATGGATTTTAGAGTATAGGTTTTAAGCCCAACCAGCTAGTCATAGTAGCCATTGTCCAAAAAATGTCAGCACAGGTTCAAGGACTAGAACTAAAGATTGTTTCAGCGCTGCAGGTGGAGCTCAATGGCAGAGCACTTGCCTAGCACATGTGAGGCCCTGTGTTTGATACTTTCCATAACAAAGAAAGATAGAAGCAAAAAATTATTCTAGGTTCTTAATCTTGACCTTTCATCCTCCTAGAAGCCCTGACTTGATTTAGTCAAGAAAAAGTTGGAGAGCCGGGTATTTAGCTCAGTAGCACCGCAGCTACCTCGGAAGTGCAAGGTCCTGAGTTCGATCCTCAGTACAAAAAAAAAAAAAGCAAGCAAGCAAGAAAAAGTTGGAGCCAGGCTTGGTGGCGCATGCTTGGAATCCCAGCACTCTAGGAGGCTGAGGCAGGAGAATTCACAAGCTGGAGGCCAGCCTGGGCAACTTAACAAGACCCTGTCTCAGAAAATAAAAAAAGGCTGAGGGGTAGCTCAGTGGGAAGGTCCTGCATTCATTCCTTAGTAACACACACAGACACACACACACACACACACACACGTGTGTGCAGGCACACATAGTTGGAAATTTTCTACAGAAACCTAGTCAAAACAACTAAAGAGAGGAAAATGTACATACATAAGATTAACACACAAAAAGGATCAGAATGGATTGAGAAATAAGGAGGTGAAAGAACAGCCATTCTAGCAGAGTCCCAACACCTGCAGGTGGAACCTGCCAGGTAAGATCCCAGGACAGGGAGAGAAGTCAGACAATGCAGTCACTCACCACCTCCCTGAAGGGAAAGGGAAAATCTGTACACAGGACAGCAGGACAAAAACAAACTGTGCCTGGAACAATAGCTACGGAGCGTAGACCTATAAGAAAGAGTTTACTTACTTGTTTAGACAAAGGTGAGCTTCAATGAAGATATCCTTAGCTTTTTCAGGGAAGTCCCTTATCTTAAAATTAGCATCATATTCTCTTATCTTCCGGATTCTGTGGAATGAAGCATGAGAATCACCCTCTGAAGTCTTCACACAATTCCTGTAACTCTCAGCATACACCAACCTCCATTAATGTTTGTTTAGTCAATAATTACCTTCTGAATGTATCAAGTCCCCTAAATCCAACCCTTCACTCTAAAGAAAGATTGAGGCTTCTCAAAGGCAAATTCCAGAATCAAATTTGATCCAGAATCAAAGAAAATATACTTTAAGCACTAAAAAGAAAAAACGGGGACTGGAGGCGTAGCTCAGCAGAAGAGCATATGTTTAGTATGCACAAGGCCCTGATTTTAATCTCCGTCACCAAAAAAGGAAAGGAAAAAGAAGTTCCATACAAAAAGGCTCAAGAGTCTAAATGACATTGGGCTTTTAAATAGCAACATTAAAAGTTAAAAAAACAGGCCCGGGATTTAGCTCAGTGGTTCCGCTGCCTGCCTCGCAAGTGCAAGGGCACAAGTTCGATCCCTGGTACCAAAAAAAAAGTTAAAAAAACAATGGAGCAGTAGTTTTTCTTTTTTTTCTTCTTTTCCAATGGCGCGTTTTTTGGGGTTTTTTTTGGTACTGGGGATTGAACTCAGGTCCTTGCGCTTGCGCAGCAGGCGGCGAAACAACTGAGCTAAATCCCCGGCCAAAAGTTTTCAATGGTGCATTTTTTGTTTTCTTCTTTTCCAATACTGGGGATTGAATCCAGGGCCTCACATATGCTAGGCAAGTGTGCTACTACAGAGCTATATCACATTCTCAGCTCTTCATAAAATTTCTAAATTGCATGGGCTGATCTTGAACTCAAGATCCTCCTGCTTCAGCCTCCCAAACAGGTGGGATTACAGATGTGTACCTTACCCAGCCTGAAGCAGTACTTTCAATATTTTTTAATTATTTATTTTGAGTACCAGGGATCGAACTCACGACCTTGTGCTTGCAAGGCAGGCGCAGTGCCACTGAGCTAACTCCCCGGCCCTATTTTTTCATTTTTTGAGACAGAGTCTCACAATGCAGCCCAGGCTGGCCTCAATTTCACAGTGATCCTCCTGCCTCAGGAGATTAGAGATGTGTGCCACCACGCCCGGCTTGGACCAATACTTTTATTTTCTTTTAAATAATTTTACTATAAATTTTATTATGATGCTTCTCAAAATGTTGAGCAGTCCTTTTAAATAAGGAAAATTTATCTGTATCCCAGAATTCTATACCTGGGCAAATCATAAGTGAAGTAAGAGAGTAAAAGATTTCTTTTGAGATTTGCAAGACCTCATTTTATTTACTACGCATCCTAGGGGCCGGGGATTTAGCTCAGTGGTTCCACCGCCTGCCTTGCAAGCGCAAGGTCCCAAGTTCAATCCTAGGTACCAAAAAACCCACAATACTATGCATCCTTTCTCAGTAAACTGTTGGAGAATATGGTCCATCAAAATAGAAAACAGTTGGGCACGATGGCACACACCTGTCATCGCAGAATTTAGAAGGCTGAGGCAGGAGGATTGCTGAGAGTTCAAGGCCAACCTAGGCTATACAGTGAGTTCAAAGGCAGCCTGGACTACACAGTGAATCTCTGTCTCAAAAAAAAAAACCAAAAAAACACACAAAATAAAAATTAACCGTAAGTTGGGCACAGTGGAAAGCATCTGTTGATCTTATGATCCTGGAACTTGAGAAACTCAAGTAGGAGGACTGAGTTTAATGCTAGCCTGGGCAACATAGAGGGACACCATTAAAAAAGGAAAGAAGGAAGGAAGGGAAGGAAGGAGGGAGGGAGGAAGGAGACAAAAGATATGGGATTCAAAAGCCAGGGACTACAACAGAAGAGGATAAGGACTATTAGGTTGATGACAAAAGTAGGTTCCAAAAAGGAAAAAAATGAAAATAGAAGGAAAAAATGGAAACAAAGCTTTTGTACATAGGGAGTGGAGGGGGCTTGACGGGGTGGGGGATGGAATAAAATAACAAATTTTTAAAAAGCAGGTACCAAGATGTACATTGGTCCTAATGAGCAACCAGTTCAGACATAAATTGGTTAAGCAGACTCCAGGAGGGAGTTCTTCTTGTAGAAGCTGAAACTGATAAAATACTTCAAGTTCTGAATACACCCAGAGAAAATGACATAAGCATGGATTTCAAAAGAAAATGAGCAAATTCAAAGACACTTAACTTTGTGAAAACATTGTATGCAAAAAAGGGAAAGTAACTGTGCGGCACGGTATGCCTCGTCTCGGCTGTCAACGTCATTTCTGCAGTAGTCATAATGCCAGCAGGTGGGCTGGGGATGTAGCTCAGCGGTACAGTGCCTGCCTGGAAAGCTTGAGGTCCTGAGTTTGATTCCCAGTACCAAAAAAAAAGGATTACGTCAGAGATGTAATTCAGCAGCGCCTGACCTGCCTGGCAAGTGCAAGGTCCTAAGTTGAATTCCCAGTACTGATAAAATAAAAATTATAAGGTATAATAATGCCAACAGGAAAAAAAAATAATAATAATGCCAACAGGGAACCCTGGCTTACTCAAAGCCTTGATGTACTATATTAAAAGGATGGTAGCTGGGGATTTAGCTGTGGTGCTGCCGCCTGCCTCGCAAGTATAAGGTCCTGAGTTTGATCCCCAGTACCATAAAAAAGGACGGAGACACCATGATCTGGTGCCATTTATTCCAGGAACGCCCTGTTGGCTTAACAGCTGAAATCAATGACTGTAATATGCCCTATCAAAAAAACAGAGGAGCAGTACAGCATCATTCCAGCACACACAGAGGAAACATCTGACGAAATCCAACACCCTTTCCTCTAGTCACCTCACTTGAACTGTTCTGTCGCCCCATCTTGAACTGTCTTTCCTCACTGGAGCCTTCCCAGAGCTGCCAGGTGGGGTCACCTCCTCCTGCTCCTGTGCCCACACTTCAGCACACCTATAATTACTGCAGTGAACTGCATGTAACTGGTATTTAGTGACTGTTTTCCTGCCCTAGGTGGCAAATCCGTGGAAAACTGTTGTGTGCTTTGCACATATCATGTACACCAAAAGCTCACAGTCCAGGAGATCTGTGCAAGGCCATCAGAAGTAGTCCCACTATCATAACAAGGGCAACACTAAAAAGAGCTAGGGAAGGCCAAGAGGTGGACACAGTGCTGGAACTGGACCATGAGAAATGAGCTGCTACCTTGTGAAGAAGAGGGGGAAGGCATTTTCCGGTAAAGGAAAGGAGTGCAAGGACAGAGAAGCATGGAATTGGTGATTAGCTTGGGAATGCTGAAGTTTAGGATGAGAAAAACAGAGAAAGGGGAAAGAGATGACAGTGGAGATGAAGGCACGGGGCAGGTCACTGAAGAAGCTTGGATTCTGTTCCTTGGGTAATAGGAACACACAATGACAAGCAAGGACACGGTAAGATCTGCACACATGGAAGCAAGGCATGGCTACAGCAAACTCGACAGCGACTCTGTATACTTCCGCTGTAAATCTACATGTGATCCAGAGAAGCCCTGATTTAGATGCAGGTAGAGCCACAGTGATGAATGCAGAATGATTCTGTCCTATGAACCAAGGAAAAGCTTCAGGCTCCTGTTCCTTAATTAAGGCCCACATTAGCACCCCAGACTGGATCTGTGTTCCTGACCCTTTTCGTTTTCCTTACTTTCTGAATTTCTTTTTTAATTTTGTTTTGGCAGCACTGCACACTGAACCCAGGACCTCTGCACTGAACTAGGTACCAGCTCACCCACTCACTCGCTCTCCCTCCCTTCCCCTCTCTTTCTTTTTGAGATAATGTCTTGCTGAGTTGCCCAGGCAAGGCTCAAACCTCTGACCCTCCTGCCTCAGCCTTACAAGTGCTAGGATTACAGAAGTGTGTAACTGCCCAGCTTTTTTTTTTTTTTTTTTGGCAGTACCAAAAAAATACCAAAAAAGTTCTACATAGTCTAAATTGTCCCTAATTGATGTGACAAAATTACCTGTAAAGGCTGAGATGCTAAGAATCAGAATGCCCACATTAATCTCCATTAAATACAGACTCTGCTCAGAGAAAGAAAATACTGTCAAGTCATTAAAGTTCTACCCAACCCAAGAAGGCCTCTCTGGCATAAAGTAGCAACAAGAAATTTCTATTTTAATATCAACCCTTAGTTGTCTCAGACACCTACGACAATTGTGAGGTCACATTCTTTTTCAGTCGCTCAGTTTTCTGCTTCAGTCCCTCCTTTGAAAGAGCTGACATGCGAGCATCACCCTCAGGAGGAATATAGGCATCAAAGATACTAGCTGTAGAGAGAAACAAGTATTGCGAGATTGAGAACAGGTCATCTTCAGGTCATATGAAACTGGGCAGGATTCTGGATATAGAGTAGATTACTCCAACAGATTTCAACGTAAGTGGCCATGGTGGGGCATGACTATAATCACTGAAGCTGAGGCAAGAGGATCACAAGTTTGAGTCCAGCCTGAGCAATTTAGCAATTTAGTGAAACCCTGTCTTAAAAAGTTAAGAAAGAGGGCCAGGGATTTAGCTCAGTGCCACGCCGCCTCCCTTGAAAGTATAAGGTCCTGGGGCCAGGGATTTAGCTCACTGGTTCTGGCACCAGCTTCGCAAGCACAAGGTCCCGAGTTCAATCCCCAGTACCAAAAAAAAAAAAAAAAAGTATAAGGTCCTGAGTTAGATCCCCAGTACCAAAAAAACATTAAGAAAGGGTTGGGGATTTAGCTCAATGAGAAGACCCAGGATTCAATTTCCAATACATAAAAAAAAAAATTTTCAATGTAGAGGGAACCATGTTACACTGAAAAAAATAGAACAATTTAAGTCTGTTCTCACCACCTGTTTTTACTCCACCCAATTGGACAATTTTACTCTTGTATAAACAGTGTGAAAACACCAAAAATGATCTCATGAATTATACCATATAGAAATCATTATTGTAGCACCTGCCTGACAAGCACGAGGCCCCAAGTTTGATTCCCAGTACAAAAAAAAAGAAAAAGAAATCATAATTGAAGTTGAGCTGATTCAGCGGTTAATTTAATGCTGCAATCACAGTACAAGTCACTACACCTTCCAGAGGCTCTGACAGTAAGGAGAGTAGGTCAGGGTCCCAGAAATAGTGTACCTTACCTGTACTGGCCAGATGTATGGGACGTTCCAAACGTTCTGGAGGAATAACCAATCCGCTTTTCCGTGCATGTTCTAGAAATTCCTTTTGTGTTCTGTATTTCAGTTCGTAAGTAGGAGGTGTGAAACGTTTTTTAGTTCTGACAGGAACTACAGCTGTGGACTGAGTCACCAGGATGGGCTGGAAGGTGAGGAAAGGTTAGGATACAGGTAACCTAGGGGAAAAAACCCCATCTCAAACAAACTCTAGTCAAAGTCTTATAGAAATATCTAAATTATCAGTTATCATAGGGAAAGATCCATTGCTAGCCAAACACCTAGAGCCATCTTTTACCAGATACCTTGGCAACCTTTATTAACATCACTCAACATTTACTAAAAGCTTTTCTTTAGTATACTCCAGAGTACTACTGGTCGCAGTTCATGAAAGCATGCCATCCATTCCAAGAACTTCGATCTGATGGGGAACTTATATACCAATCCAAAACTGAAATGAGTAGAATACTTTTTTTTTTTTGAGACTGGGTCTCGCTATTCAGTTCGGCTGGCCTTGAACTCACTATGTAGGTGAGGCTGGTGATACTCCTGCCCCAGCATCCTGAGTGCTGGGATTACAGGCATGTGCCACCACACCCGGCCTTTCTGTTCGTTTGTTTTTAAATTTCTTTTCTCTCCCCTTTGGAATGCTATTATTAAGCCAAAGCATATTCCTCACCTTGGCATCTCCTCCACGTTTATTCAGACTTCATTTCACTCTCTCTCTCTGTGCTGAATCTCATCGTAAACCTTACTATGTTGTGCTAGCTCCCAAATGATCAACAAGCTTTTTCAAAGCAAGGTGACTTTTTCTCCTGATCACGAGATTTACTCCGACAGGAACTGTGACAAGACTCCCTTTATAGACTACTGTTCATCTAGTCTAGGTGTAAGAATCAAAGAGAAATGGGCCCATCTTCCACGTTCTCTCCCCTTAAATGCCTCCTTTCCAGATAACTTCAAACCAAATTTGAGAAATTTAATTTCCGAAAAATCCCCTCTCTCACACACCGCTTCCAGGCTCTCCAAACTCTGCCACTGAGCAGTCTGAGGTCTCGTTCTCCTCAAACTCTTCCCCATGCCGGCCGTGGTGGCTCACACCTGTAGTCCCAGTACGCGAGAGGGTGAGGCAGGAGGACCCTGTAAGATCTAGGGCAGCCTGGATCACACAGTGAGTTCAAGGCCAGCCTAAACTACATACCGAGACTCTGCCTCAAATAAATAAATCAATAAGTCAATAAATAAAAGCTTCTTCCCTGTTAGTCTGAAAAGTCCTATATGCCCCGTTCCTACCCACCTGCCGAATCCACCATCCCAAAGCCCTGGTTAAGCAAGACAAGCCCCGCAACAGGGTAGCTGCCATTTTGTTGGCGAAAAGGCTGTCGGGATGGGAGCTGAGCGTGAGGAACGTGAGGTAAACCAGGAGACGCACAGGGCGGAGCTAGCGTTCGAGTGGAATTTTCCAGGGCGCGCGCCCTCCTCCGAAATGTGAGCCGCGCGAACGCGCACGTGCTCGTGGGAGTGGGGGAGGGTGCGGGCCCATAGCGCGTGCGCGGTGGGACCACGTTGGGGGCGGGGAAAACGCACGGCCGTCACGCGCCAGCCCTAGTGCGCTAGAGTTTGAGCTACGCCTGCGTGCGAGGCTGCCCGGCTGGTGCGGGTTGCTGCGCTTTGTTTACAGCGAGTGAAAAAACCGAAAAGGTGTCTCCCTGAAGCTAGGGAGACAAGTGTTTTTCCTCAGCACCTAGAGTACATGGAAGGTACCTGGATCCCAGAAAGAGCAAAAGTGAATAGTTTCTCAGTCTGTATCTGACCTCACTGTGCTGCTAGGTAACTTTAAACCTGAGCTCTAGTTTTCCCTGCCTGCCTGGTGGAGAAAGTTCTTGTCAGGTTAGGGGAATCGTCCTCTGTGTTTGCTAAAGCAAAGGGCACATAGATTGACCACAGTATTTCTGATTTGTCATTTTGGAGGAGTCACGGACTTAACTCTTAACAAATTTAATACAATAATAGCTGATAAACTTAGAAATTGTTTACCCGGTGGCTGGCAATGTGGTAACAATTTACATATATACACTCAATCCTCACCAGAAACAAGAACAGTATTCCTGTTGCACACGTGTTGTGTTGCAGAGATTACGTAAATTCCTTCAGGTTCGCTGATAACGTGCAAGAGATTCAAATCCAAGCAGTGCAACCCCAGAGCCCCGGCAACGCACACAGAACGGAACCCAGCCTTGATTTTTAATTTTGAGATAAAATCTCACTAAAGCGCTCACACTGTCCTTGAATTTGCCATCCTCCTGCTTTAGCCTTTGGAGTAGTTGGGATTACAAAGAGACACCTCCACACTTTGCTTAGAGAACCCATGTTCTTTTTTTTGTTTTGTGGGGTTTTTGGTGGGGTTTTTTTGAGACTAGAAAAGTTTATTGGGAAATAAGAATGGGGAATAAGAATGGGGCATAAGAATAGCTCCTGAGAGATAGGAGGGGTCCCAAATGGGTTGCCTGTTTTGTTTTGTGTGGTTTTTTTTTTTTTTTGAAGTGAATTCTTTTTTCGTTTGTGTGGTACCAGGGATCAAACTCTGGGCCTTGTGCTTGTGAGGCAGGGAGTGGAACCACTGAGCTAAATCCCAGGCCCCTTGTTTTGTGTTTTGAGACAGAGTCTTGCTCTGTAACCATGACTGGCTTTGAATTCATGATTCTCCAGCCTCAGCCTGCTGAGTGCTGAGATCCCAGGTGTGCGCCATAGTGCCCCGAAAGAATCCATGTTTTTTGTTTTTTTGGTAAGGGGGATCAACTCAGGACCTTGCTCCTGCGAGGCAGGTGCCGGTGCCGCTGAGCTACTTCCCCAGCTGAAGACCTATGTTCTTAACCACCGCGAAGTACTGCTTCATATGGAGTTGTTAAAGCCATCATAATGTTGGCATTATCCTGGAAAATCCAGTTCTGTAAACACTCCTGAATGGCAAACACTTTCCACACTTAGCCATTGGCTCTTATTCTGCCAATTAGTATTTTTATAATTTTTTTTTTTGGTACTGGGGATTGAACTTGGGTCCTTGCGCTTGCGCAGCAGGCAGTAAAACCACTGAGCTAAATCTCGGGCCGCCAATTAGTATTTCTTTTTTTCCAGTGCTGGGAAATTGAACTCAGGATCTTGAGCTTTCCAGGTAGGCACAGCATAACTGAGCTTCATCACCGGCCCCTGCCAATTAGTATTTACAGGGCACCCATCCACAATATTTCGCAGAGTTGGGAGCTATGGTTCTGCACGCAAGAGGTTTAGGTCAGAGGAGAACTGCTACAAAGGTTGGAATAAAGTGCTAGAAATGATCAGAGGAACTGAGAGATTGCTTATGGGTTTGGAGATCACATGTACATATGTTTTTAAAATCTTAATTGCACTGAAAATTCTTCAAGGGTGAACATTTCTCCACTTACTGTTTCTCTGGTGTGAGAAACCAAAAGTGGAAATTGGGAAATGGGAAGAAAATGTTCAAATGAGATGGGTAACAAGAGAGGTGGGAGGGGAAAAGGAAAGAAGGGGCAAGAAAAAAAATAGAAGTGATATAGGGGAAAGAGATCTAACTCCCAAACCTGCTAGGTATCCGAAACAAGAGTTCCTGTTCTCTAAAATCGAAGAATGAATTCTAGGAACGATAGAGGTTCAGAGTAGGAAAAATTTGGGCCAGGGATTTAGCTCAGTGGTTTTGCCACCTGCTGCACAAGCGCAAGTACCCAAGTTCGATCCCTGGTACAAAAAAAAAAAAAAAACCCCAAAAAACTATAAGACCCAATGGAAAATTACAAGGTGGCCATGAGGTGGGCAAAACCATGAACTAACCAATAAGATTACAAGTACAGTCACTCAGGTAATATTGATTAAATGGGGATCAAATGGGAAAACAAGCCACATACAAAGATTTCCCATTTAGAATATCAATTACTGCTCTCTATCTCTAGGGGAAGCAGTGCCTCTTTTCCTTTTTTATAATACTAAATGGCAAATGTGCCTTAATTGTTCTCCAGGTTGGCTCCTAGCCTTGTTGGCTCCTTGAGGGCTGGTACCTTGAGGGTGGCCCTGTCTAACTGCTTACAAGATGTCTAACTTACCTATCTACAATAGAAGGAAAAAATGGAAACAAAACTTTTTCAAATAATGAGGGGAAGAGAGGTCAAGAGGGGAAATTGGAAAAAAGAACCAAGATACATCATGTACAGGTACAAATTCCCTATGATGAATTATCATTATGTGTATCTAAAATGTACCGGCTGGGGAGTTAGCTCAGTGGTTTGGGCACCTGCCTTGAAAGTGCAAGGTCCTGAGTTCGATGCCAGGTACCAAAAATAAAAAATAAATGAATAAATAAAATGTACCAATAAATATTTTGCTTAAAAAAAATTTTCCCTGTAAAATTCTAGCCACACACCTAAATCTATAGCATAACACATTAATAGTAACATGAAGTACAGAGCTATATATGGGTGTTAATTAAAAATAGTATATTACAGGGCCTGGGGATTTAGCTCAGTGGTTCTGCCGCCTACCTAGCAAACACAAGGTCCTGAGTTAGATCCCTGGTACCCCCCTGCCAAAAAAGAAAGTATATTACAGATTTACATGAGAGATACCTGACTATTTATTTATTTATTTTTGGTACTGGGGATCAAACTCAGGACCTTGTGCTTGCAAGGCAAGTGGTGGAACTACTGAGCTAAATCCCTGGCCCCTACCTGATTATTCTTAAACAAGTTCTCCATTCATTCTATTCTCTAGTTAATAAAATTTGGAACTCTTTGTTGCTGGTCTTTTTGTTGTTGTTGTTGTTGCTGGTCTTGTTATACTAAATTTCGAGAGATTATAGAGAACTCCCACACTCTGAGGCAAATTTGAGTCCTTTTATTGCTGGTGATCAAGAGCAAGCTCCGGTTCAAAAACTCTCCATGACGAAAAGTGGCTTTCGGGTTTCTTTTAAGCAGCTCTTCTAGTTAGGGAGGGCTCAGGGAGAGGGGGAGCACAAGCAGAATTTCACAGGAGCAGAACTTTGCTAAGTTAGTGGGGGTCAGGGGAAGTTTCACATAGTTTAGTTGAAACAAAATATCACGCAGGTGTGGATTATTCTTTTCACAAGGTCATTGAGATAACATATAGCTTCAGACTGCTCTACCAAATGGGATATGGTGGCATCAACTGAAAGGACTCCCAAGGAGGGAAGGGGAGGCGACCACCCAGAATCACTGGACTTTACATGAAAAGAGGGAAACAGTGATGAGGTACAAAATGGAGTTAGGCTATCACAGTCTGCCCACTGAAGTGAGGAAAACTCATCAAACAGATTAATTCAGTAATTAATTATTGATTATTGTAGAATGCTGATATGATCTGTCTGGGATATCTGTTGCACTGTTGAGTCTTATGTGGGCCTCACACCATAGCTAACAAGTCCCAGATTGATCTAGGGAATATGTTATAGGGATGATATAGAACCTCCAAATAATCCAAATAACCAAAGGGAAATATAACTCCCAACCTGCTAGATGTCCTATAGGCCAATACACCGAGTTCCTGAGTTCATTTTCTCTAAAATCAAAGAATGAATTCTAGGAACCATGGAGGTTAAGACTAGGAAGTATTTATTTTCTTTCTTTTTTTTTTTTTTGGTACCAGGTATCAAACTCGGGTCCCTGCGCTTGCGAGGCAGGTGGTGGAACCATTGAGCTAAATCCCCAGCCCCTAGGAAGTATTTATTGACAGAAAGACAGTGGGTGGGCAGGGAACTCCCTTTCTCAAAGGAGTTTTATAGAGCAAAACCATGCATGAGGTGAGGTGCGTATAAGGTGGGACAAAACTATAGTCAATAAAATTACAAGTATAGTCGTTTGGGTAATATTGATCAAATGAGGATCAAATGGAAAAGCAAATCCATAGCAAGCATATATAGAATGAAATTCTATGTATCTAGGATTTTCTGAGAAGGAATGGGCTAGGGGGGTTTTGGTCCCCACCCAAGGTGATTGATGCCTATTTTGAGTATCACGCACTGCAGTTCATCCCTAGGGGAATATGTGGGTGGAGTCATTTCTCCTTCTCTTGAAGCCTGACCTTCAAACCTGCCTCCAGCCACAGCTGTAATGTGTTCTTATCTTCTGCATTGACTCCCTGGAGGGCCCAGCCCTGTCTGACTGCCGATAATATTTTAACTAATTTAG